AATGAAATAAAAAATAGATGTGCAGATAGGTCTTTGAATATAGATGCTATGGAATAAACATTATGCTAAGATTTATTAGGCACCTTTTGTTTTCTCATGTCTGTGATTCATTAGACCTGGCTTGGAAATTAATTTGATGTTGCTGAAAACTACATAATAAATACCAAGAATTGCATCATCATTAACCTCATGAGTGGATGGAAACTGAACATTTCTGCTCCTATAACACAATGGCCTTTGAACAGCAAACGTGCTTTAAGTGTAGGTTTGCTCATGTTTGTGATACAATGGAGTGATCTCTTGTTCGTATGAAAAGAGGTTGTCCTGTTCAGACAAACATTGGATATAGCCTGACAAAGTCATGTTTGATGGGTTCATTGTGGTGGATGTTAATTCAGGGGTTAATAAGCATGACTTTTGGAAATTAAACTATGGAAACATTCTTAATTCTGTTCAATTGTATAATCTTCCCATCTTTTTGAATTGCTTAGGGAATACTGAATTTTCCAACAAGCAAGCAGTGTGTATTTTACAGACCCTAACTGGGAAGATGCAGTAGGAATGGGGACATGATGGATCATTAGTCTGCATATTTCTCATTTTAAGAAAGAATATTACCAAGGGATAAGTGAAAATCCTCATTCTGCTCTGCCTATTGGCAGACACTGAGCTGTACTGCAGGGAGATCTCCAGCTCACAAGGACACCAGAGGTCTCTCCTTTTTAATGTACAAGGTCAAGAGTGACAAAGAGCACAAAGACAAGAGAGAGAGCCTCCTGATCTTGGAAACCATTGTCCTTTAGAAAAAACTCTGACTGGAGTGGGCAGTGGGTTCATGGCCATAATGAGAGAAAACCAATGAAAGAGGAATATGGGGACACTACTGAGTTTAGAGAATTTCAAGATAATTTGCATGTAAGTTTTATCAATTTCCTGTGGATTTGTGTACCTTTTGGGACTTCTTAAAATAATATGTGATTCACTCTAGCAAGCTCTATCTTATGTAAGTCTTAGACTGATCCTTGTCAGCTCTGCCACCTGGAGTGATGAACCAGGTCTCTGCTTTTGTTCTTGCTGGGCATGCAGGTTTAGCTTCCAGGTGCTTTTGCTCTCTGTATGTGAATGATGCTAGAGTAGGAGTGAGAGGTTGGTTATTATTTTTTACCTAAAATACCTAGGTATTTTTTACCTAAACCTCAAAGGTTTTACTTCAAAATTTATTGTTTCTGAATTCTCATGGTTTAGAGAACTATTCTGAATTACTAGATGTTAGTGTTAAATGAACCCTGTAAATTCTGACAAGCTCAGTGTTTGAACATCAAGTATCAGAGAGAAGAAGTTTGAAAATATGTTTAAATGTTGAGCGGCGGGGGGAAAGCAAACACACAAAAATCCTATAAGTGCTCTGCAAAATACAATTTGTGGATACACAAATTGTTGTTGGGAAAAAAAAAAAAAACCAAAGCCAGTTTCAAATTAGAAAAGAAAAGCAGAAAAAACAGCAAACAGGTACAAATTGACTAGCCCAAATTTCTCCTCTGAGACACATGCACTCAACTTCTGCGTGGATCCCCACGTTCTAATTAAATGGGCTTCTACTTATTCCTTTGCTGGAGGCATTTTTTTTGATTAACAGAAAGAAAGGTTAATCATATAAATTTGCCATCTCACAGCACTGTGAAGCAGCAGAGAGAAGGCATCTCCTTGTTCCCCCTGCTCGGCTGCCACTCAGCTCTGCTCAGTGCAGATGCAGACACGGAGCTTTCCCCCCAGGCCCCTGTGACACACTTTCCTCCACTCGTTCTTGGTGGAAGAGGAACATTCCTCGTGTTTGTGACTGCAGCTGTCTTAGTGGAAGTGTGTAGATCACCTCATGGACGTGCGAGCTGTGCAGCAGATTCTGTCCCCAGGAGGGATGGAGCAGACATGCAAATCCCTGCCCCGTTAGGAAGGAGCTCTAATTGCTCCTACCTAACGTGCATCCATGATTAAAACACAGTTATTAATGAAACCATGGTGTGCTTGGATGCAGATGGATCACAAGTTTTTTTTAATACCATGTTAATAAGATCTTTTATAATTCCTTGTCTGAATTTACCTGGTAATTATAAGGTAGCAACTATAATTTTCTTGGACAGACTATTAGTTATGATTTCTTTATCTCTCTGTTGTAAGAATTGGTTCACACTTGAAGCAGCAGGCTTTCATCTCTGCAAGTGACCTACATTTATGGTTACGCTTGCAATAAAATTTTAAAAAATGGCAACTTTGAATAGACACACTGAGAGTATAAAACACAAAAGTCTAATTCTCCTCAGTGACTTGTTTGCATTGTGGGGATTTGAAATTCACCTCATCTTTATGCACTCTTGACTTTCGGGTCTGGTCTAGCTGAACCTGGTGCCTGTGCAGGGTGTGGGAATTGCTGCCAGCACAAACACCCCGAGCTGCTCCTCTGCTGTCCCAGCCCAGCACAGCTGTCTCTGCTCCATGGGGTTTGAACTTTATGAATGATTTTTCAGTTTCATTTGCTGTACTTAAAAAAAAAAATAAAATGGTTACTTGAGGTTAGACTGAAAAAGCGTTTTAAAGGCTTTTTTAAAGCCTTTTTTTAAAAGGCTTTTTTGAAGCCTTTGTTTTGGCAAGACAAATAAGTTGTAATTGAATAAATAATTTGATCCCACATAAATTTGCTGTCTATTTTCTAAGGATTCTTAAACATTCCATAGAGATAAATTTTGAGTCGTTTCTTTCCAAAACATCCTTTTCAGGTTCATGTCTGGAATCTAACCAGAGGCTTTAAGGCAGTTTTTTTTCTTTGTTTTTGTGAGGTATTTTGACATAATAGAAACAAAATTTGCAAATTCGGTATGAATATGAAATCTGGCAGCTGCCCTTTTCACAGAAAATGTCTCCTGATTTTAGTTACTATTCTTAGACATCTGCTTAGTCTATAGGATGTCCAGGGAAGAGGGTGTTAGGAAAGATGTCTTGCTCCCCTGCTGCTTTTGTCAAAAATACAGAGGTTAAACTCTGCATATGCATGCTGAGAGATTTCCAGGAGTTGGGATAGATGGATTCTGGGAGTGGGGGGTGTTTTTTGTTTTCTTGGGGCTTAGGAATGCACACAGAATAAGTCACATCTAAATGGATTCGCTGCATTCTGAGATTATCTGAGTGGTAGCTCCAGCACTGTAAATGGCAATATCTGTGAGAAGTGTTTTGCTTCTCCTCTCCCTAACATTTACTCGTTGAACACTTAGTGTGTGGCCACTGCTGGGCCGTGTGTGACCACTATAATCACTTTGAATTGGATGCAAAATATCTGATAATCTCATGTGAATCTGACACTGCAGAAGAGAACAATTCTAAAGATGCCTATAATAATTTTCTTTTTCCTGCCCACAAATTAACAGTGAATCCTCTCAAGCACCTTTTGACGTAACTGGAAACACTGTTCTCTGTGGCGTGTAGGTTTACATATTTGCTGTGCAAGCACAAAGATGCAAAGAAAGGGAAAGAAGCATCTTGGTGGGCTTTATCCCTCACCACTGCTCTGTATTGAGTGCCATGGGGATAATGTGATGAGAGTATGCAGGTAGCTGTGTTTATACAAGGTGAAGATGCACATAAATCCACTGGCTGAATGATTCAGACCTGTCAAGTCTCATGCATTATGCACAGGACTTATTCAATTAGCCCTGCCACAGTGCCTATAACTCAGGCACTTGTGCAGGGTGTGCTTGGCCTGACTCCCACTGCTCAGCTCCAGTTCCAGGTGCACTGCACAGCCTCTGACATGGCCACACAGACCTGTCCCTGGCACAGGGATGGCT